AAAACGTGTAACCCATCCTTTAGTTCAGGAATGCGAGAGTTTGGCTGGATAACGATAAACAGAAGTTAACTGCTTTTTGAGTTCTGTTCAGTACATTGGTCGGTCTTTTTCGTAGCACATCACCAGCTATATCCGTTGAATGGTAACTTCAAGAAAAGATGTCTCCTACTAACTGTTGATGTCTCTGTTTCCCTGTTCATTACATGCAAGTCTTTCTTCAACAAACCTTGTGGATAATCCATTGCAATCAACACATAATTCTGCACTAGTTCCTTGTTTATAGTGTCGTCTGAGCATATCTTCCTAGCCTTATTAGCAAGATATGTAACTCGTGAAATGTGTGTGCTGGCTTGCTGAAGAACTCTTGCTATACACACTTCTACTGACGAGACCACTATGTTCTCTGTCTGACAAAATGTCGAGGAAATATAGTTTGTTATCAAGTTCCTCTTCACACATAAATCTGATTGTTCAGTGCTTATTGTCGAATGGCTCTAAAAGATATTCTTTTCCACTATTCTTATCAACAACAATGGAATCATTATAACTGTATTAGCAATAAAAGTTACGTTTTTCAATAATCTCTTTAAAAGGTCTATATTCTAGTTTCTCAAGAAAAAAGTCCTCAAGGACAGGACCCAGAGGTTAACCCATTGCTATTCCATCAATATTATCTGTTATTAAAGACAAAACGAACGTTCATCTTACATTTCAAAAGTAATGGTTTGAGACTAACCTAGAAAATTTCAATATTGTGTCACTATGTACCAACTTGACTACCTTTTATAAGTTTGGTTATATTGGTTCTGTTTTTCATTCAGACCTTGAGTGAAACTGTCCAAATCCATGTTGAAACTTATTACCTACTCAGTGAACACTTTTGAGAGTGTCTGCATCTTTAACATGACAACATAGCCCCACAGATCTAGCGCCTTAGATAATATACCACGTAGGTTGATAATAACGTAAAAACATTTCTTCGCAAAAGAATTTGGATGTCCAGTCAAAAGACAACGATACATGAAATACTTTTTGTGATGCCGTCCTCATGTGTGCCATTGTTTTGAAGTTATGACTTGTAATTCAACATGCATCATTTTGTTCCAGAAAGTAAGTTAATTGGTTTCCATCGTTAATATATTGAAGATTACTCCTGTGACGAATTTGGATTTTCGCCGAAGTTTAGTCGTTATGATAGTTTAGATCATTTAACCCTTTAATCTGGAGCTCAATCCCACCTAGTTGACTTTTCGTTGGGATGGTTCTTTTCCACAGCCTAGGCTCCCCTTAAGGTAACAGGAATAAAGATAAAAAACCTTTCACTTCTACACAAAATTGTGTCTACAGATTAGGTTATGTCGACTGTTACGAGTTCTACATTGGAGAGTCTTCCCGTAGGATGTCAACTCGCACCAAGGAATACTAGAGTTACAAAAACGACCTAATAATCATATAGTTTGATCTTGAGAAATTCTTTTTTTGTTTTATGGTGTGATATGGTCTGGTCTTCATGTATGTTAAACATGTACCTCTGAAATATGCCATTCATACAGTGGAGTCGGATATTGTGTTCTGGACTAGGCGTGTGGCTAGACGAGAAGTTTCTGTAACGAGTACCAATAAAGATTCAAAATTGACTCAAGGCTGCTAGTGCTGATTGATGTGTCACTGATTCAGCACAGGGCAAGGTCACATAATTCGATATTCTTGTCGGAGATTTTGTAAAAGGATAATTGACAGAAGCACACCTTTTGTGTGTGATTATAGTTGTAAAGGTAATAGCGTACGACTCAAATTGTCAGAATTAACATAAAGCCATTCTATGAAAGTAACTCAATCATCACTTTTTGTTTCAACCTACACCATAATCTTCGACTAATATGATTTCTCACTAGTTCCAGCGGTTATGTTAGATATCTATCACTAGAAGAATTCGGACGCTTTAAATATTTATTACTTTATGGCTCTTTCAATGATTAGTAACTGCAGAGTATTTACTTGATGTATTGCATCCCATGAACAAAAATGAGTGAATTTCCTAATTATATATAACGAAGTTTGGTCGTAAATTCTTCATTTAAAGTCACTATTTAGATGATTTTGGTTCAGGCTGTAGAATAACAGATTTTATTAATCTGAATAAAGTTAAATACACTCAAGTTTCACTGTCGACCACCTCTAACCACCATCTCACCTCAACATAGTGCATACAATATCGAGTCACCTATACTAGTGGCCTCATTGCAACTTGTTCGATAGAATTAAATCAGAAGTAAGAAGGACATGACCCACATGACTGTTGTAAATGAAAACGTAGGTGGAGATGACCAAATCAGATTTTTTACATAACCTGACAGAGTCCTTGTTAAATTCTAAAATCCATACAGAGAATATTTCATTTGCAAATTTACATTATTTTTAATTTGCATTCTGTATGTTTCTTCCAATTCACAATTTCATTCTGTTTCCGTTTCTGTTCTCTTCAACTCTATCTTCTTAACCTTCTGTTGCCAGGTTTTCTACTTCCGATTGATAGAACATACTACTTATAACGACAGACACAAGTAGCGTACACTACACTACTACTCATTTACTCAGAATTTGTATTAACTAAAATTATCATCTCTACAACTAGGGCTTCAAATGTTCACGTATACCTATTGACTTTACTAGAAAAGTTCAAGGCAATAGTAGTAGCTAAAAAATCCAACACAAGAAACTCAACATAGATGGTTAACAACTTATTTATTGGTAAGATATATATATATCCAATGAAATAAGTCTTTGACTATAGATTTGAACGCATCTTCTCACAAAAAAGTAATATGCTTGGAATGATTAGAGTATTAGAAGTGATCATAACACCAATCACCATGACGCGCAATGCTGACTAGTGTTGGGGATAGTTGGAAGAATGTTAGGGGCGGCAAAACCAAAACCTGGCATCAGTCAACAAAGTCATTAACTTCTGGTATGAGCTATGTCAGTAGATCTAGACTACTTGGTTGGGGTTTGCATGACTATAGTAACCAATGGTTGACATAACACAGAATCGATCACAATGGCGTTGGTGTATACTCTCTCTATTTTCTTCCTTAAATCGTGAGATTAAAATAACTTTATACCCTTCTTTCTACGAACTAATTCTTTCTTCCTGTACTATATCCTTATACACAATCTTTCTTTTATATATTACCACCACTGAATTAATTACTTCCAGGAATTCAGTGTTCATCTTGTTGTGCTAATGAGGTATGGCAACTTGGATCGATACATATATATGCCTGGTCCTACGTTGTAGCTGACTGACTGACTGAGAGTATTATAAAATATCATTACTGGATCAAAAATAGTACAATCACATACATTTTATATTGCATTATTATTGTTCAGTAATAAATATAATACGAAATTTTACAATTATCTGCAATTAAGTTGTACAGTGCTATTAATTTTCAACGTGGAAGTATTAGGTCCTTACCTGAAAAGTACAAAACATCTATCAACAATGTTTCTGAATATTTTCAAAGAAGTTGAAAAGTTAATTAAAAAATATAGATCATTGTATATTCGACGAGACTATGAATTATGAACGAACCAATCAGATTTAAGATGATAGGTCTCGAATTTCCCCGCGAAATTCGTTCATCCATTTGGTTAACTAGCGTTTAAGCATTTTAGCTTATATCAGTTCGTGGTGAAAACCTTAAATCTAATGCCTAATCTTAATCATCAACTGTAAATTATAATCCTAATTCCTCATATAGGTCTAGTTATCAGGTGGACACTCTCAAGGTCACTCTGGAGTTACACAAAGGTCATCCATAAATCATAGTCTTACCAGTAAATGAAACAACTGTCATATCATATTGTATTTAGAAAATTTACCATTTTTAACCGAATTAGAAACCAGAATATAGTGAGAATAATAGCAACAGCGATCCTGAAGACTCCCGAGCTCTCACATTGTACGAGTATTACATGTACTTAAATTAATGATTGCTCTGGTTGTCAGAAGAGGCATCAACCTAGTGACTCCCGAAAGAACTTGGCTTTCATCATGAGACGTTATAATTCTTCTAAATGAAGACCTTCTAATTCTCAGGGCAGAGTTTAAATGCTTTGAAATGCTTTCTCTGGTTAGCGTTTTTTTGGAGAGTTGGTTTCCTACAAGATTGGGTCGCTTACCTAATGCCTAAACCTCCTGCTTTATCCGGCTTGGTACCGGCGACGGCCCCAGGGAATCCCCGGGTGGAATTGTGAGTTTAATAGGCGTTCATAAAAATGGGATTTCCTCGATCAGTACATGAATCTCTCAAAAAGTTGGTGGGGTGATTAAGTGATTAAGCACTTATTATTAAGTAAAAGTTCACTTTTTATTTCAGAGGTGACTTAAAGTTGATTGGGTATATTTCCTTCAAAAGCTATTTTCCTTTCAACATAACGTCTTCAAGTTATCCTGTAGAGATAAATTGCTTTATGTCTCCTATATTGACATTCATATATACATATCGTTGTCAACGGATCATAGGCGAACAACAAAAGTGATCGTGAATGGAATGATGTTAGACCGCCATTAAAAACCTGGAAGCACTGGATGGGCATTTCTTCCTAGTATAGTACTCTTCATCAGCGCGTATCCGCAATGCTGATCGCGGGATTCGAACCCAGGGGCTTAGGTCTCGCTCGCCGACACATAACCTCTAGATCACTAAGCTGACATCCGATGATGTCAATGTCTAACTTTAATCAATCGAAAAAATTGCACGGCCATCTTCCATTGTACTGAGGTATATACCTGTCTCTACCTGATATGGAGTAGCTCCACTGGTCACGGCTTCTCACTAGAACTTTGAGAATTTTCAAACGAAGCTAATTACTAGTGAACTCATGTTAATTATCAGTATAGGGTTGTGGAGATTATTAAGTTTTTGACTGAGATCATGAACCGATTGATGTAATCATTTCTTATACTTTATACATGCACATAATAAACATACCCTGCAAAACCTGTTAACATTAGGACATAAGATTTCCCCACTAAGTCTCGATTTTCCATCAGTTACATTAAAACGTACTGGCAGATCTTTCCTGGTACAATTCACAGTTGAATCTTTAAAGAATAAACCAAGTGTTCCATCATTATAACACTTGTACTAAATAAAAAAGAAATACGATTTTGTGAAATAATTCGGGAATAAATTAATATGAAGATACAATGAAACAGGTTAGATTAAAGTTACTTTAAGGATTCTGAACGAAAGTTGTGGGTTTAAAATATATAGATCTAACTGATATACTTCAACGAGAATAATGAATGGTAACTGTTGGGATCCATTTATAGACAAATCATACACGCATATTTTTATCGTATAATTGTTAAGTAACTAAATTATTCATATTCTTGTTCCTCTTATGATTAGCGCTATTTTGACCCATAGACTATTATTATAAGATTTACCGTTCTTGAGTTGTGCCCAGTCTATTCATTATAGTCTCCCTCATTCACAGCCACTTTTAACATGGTCTTGTACAAATGTTATTTCCAACTTCATGGTACGATGTGACCTGTTTGATCGGTATATGAGCCCAGTATGTTTAAGGTCAATAAGAACCAATCAATATCGAGGTGCACAGAACAAGCTTTGAAACACATATGGAGAAATTCAAACACTTCACTTCTATTTGAAGTTTGTGCTGATGATGTCGTTCAGAAGAACGATGAAAGCTCCACGACCAAACCATCCAGCTCAGAGAACAAAACTCCACCAAAATCATCCACCTGAGCTACAAATCTTCTCCACCAGCCCAGTATGTTTGAAATACATAATTCATATTGCAGAGGCTGAGATGGGTATTCTGAACTTAATAGGCAAGGATAGGCAGAAAGAAGGACTGATAAAAACTCTAGGCTGCTAGTACAGGTTAAGGCATCCGGTCTATAAGGTACGAGGCTATAACTTATAACCATAGCATACATTTTCAGTCACACAACTAGAAACTGTTAATACGTCTAATTGCTAGACAATATTCAAGATTGAATTATTATTATACTTTACTTCAGAAATTATACCTAGTTTTTAAATTAAGAGACATCTTTGTTAAACAACTTAATTTGAACAACATATCGTATAGTTCTTTTTATGATGAAATTTGATTTTTAGAAAATGCAACATTATTATACTTTAAGAAAAAGGGTGAAACAATTTATGGGTGTTGTTTACGACAAAAAGCGAATGTCTGGCGCTTTAACCGGGTCGCTGAACACGTAGGATTCACCGAGGGGAGTTGGAAAACCCTGATTCCAAACCAATAGTGCACATGGGCTCCAGGATCCTGTAGGAACAAGTGGCGTATAAACCAATCGTTGATCACTGGCTATCATAGGACTGCATCTCTCGACTTTGCTCCACTGCCTGATGGATTGGATCTTTAGGTTGAAAGCACTGGGTGTGGCCCCCTAATACATAATTCGGTCTGGGCACCCGGGCAGTATCACAGCTCTTGCACAAATCGAATGATTTATGCGGTGCATATCTATTTGATGCCTCCTTGTACCAGTGTTTATATAAAAATTTTAAATAAATGAGTTCGAAAACAGTATTTTTTTAGAGTTTCGTGACTTTATATAGGCCACTTCCTCAGAGTGAAAAGACAATTTATTTATCGATGGAATAAAAATATGTAATAATAAACAGATAAGAAAGAATTAGTCCCTGAATTTTCTGAAGTAAAATCGTGTTCAATCTCGAAAGAACACATATTCCAGATAACTTTAATGACTATCGAGCTGTTTTACAAATTAATCTCGTATGAAGTCTGTGAGGTGTCTTTAGTATTTCACACTGTGAAGATCAAATTCAAGACAAAGCTGTTCTGTTTTACATGATTTTCTACTGTTTTTCGGTGATGCAACCCATCTAACTTGAACTGATATTACTCAAATGTCATCAAACATTTACATCATCTTGAAAGTTTGGTCTTGTCTTTAAAAACTCAATAGATGACAGAAATATAAAAGAGAACAAAACTGTACCTTATGACAACTTCCTTTCAAATATGTCCCTAAAGTGTATATATATCTGTCGGTGTAAGTCCAAACACTTCGATGTTCAACACAAATCCCTTTTGATCCATACGTTTGATAGTAACGGTTAATGCCTTCACCTAACATAGAAGATGAGTTTTAAATAAGTGATTAATTATTTCTTATCTATTCAGAACGCCTAGCTAAGTACACAGGTAGATCAACAATGTAAATATCTGATTAGAAAAAAAGGAAACATAAATTCACTTGGCATTGTTTATTTGAATCTTCCCAGTTGATATTTAGGACTGTATTTGATCAGTCTCTTACTGGCATATGAGCATACTGAGCGTGTCGCCTCGATATTGTCTCAATTTACAAGAATTATAAGTAAAGATGGATAAAGGCTTGCAGTGGAATAGGGTGGTGACTTTTGAAGCGAACGGTACTGGGTTCGAGTCCCAGAGTGAACATCAACTCTGAGCTACAGATGAATCCAACTGACAAATTGGGAATAGGACGAAACGTGAGTCGCGGATTCCACTATTAATCACTATCCATCTTTGCTTATAATATTAGGAAACATCTGTTTTTCATGGTTATTTAACTGTCGTATATTTTCTACATTTTACGAAACAATTTTAGAATTCTAATGAAGAGCATTGAATGTTTAGCAAAATCATACATAAGCCATTATAGATATGCTAAGTACACCTAGGGTTTACTTTGCGTCCATGATGTAATGGTATCTTTGCTATTGAAAATACCATACAGTTTCAAATTCTATGTATAATACAATAAGTAAGTGAAATTCTCCATTCTAAAACCGATCCAAGTTGATTATTGAATCAATAAAAAGTACAATCAACAAACAAACATTAGAGAATCGCCTTAACTATTCTTCTCATGTAAAATATTTGATGGGCTAACTATATTTGTGAATAAAGCCTAAAACGCTGTTCTAACCAGTCTACTCAAAATTCATCACTACATGTGTTCTGTGAATAGGTGATTCGATATATGATCATTTTATAAGAATTAAGTCAATTGTATTCACAGAATACTTGATCTATAATTGAGTAATTCAATGATAGGTTAACGAAGAAGTAAATTGAATAATGACTAGCAGTGAAATCCAAGACATGCGGTTCGTCCTATTCGTCAGCTGGATGTACTTGAATCGTAGAGTTGATGTTCATTCTGGGACTCGATATCGTGGCAGTCCTCACAGGACAAGTATATATGAACAACAAGAGACTGATTAATTCCAGTCCTAAATAACAATGAGACGATACAAGTAAATAACATCAAATGAAAAAAGTGGGATAATTAAATCTCAACTGAATGATTTTTAATAAAGTTCCACGTCAAACGCATAAAATATTTAACTTGATAACTTATCGATATGAGACTATAATTTATGGACGATCATTGAGTAATGCTAAAGTGACCTTCAGAATATTCACCTAATTACTAGAGCTAAATGAGGGTTATAAACCTGTGAGAAGAAAAGAAGATTATAATTTTCTTTTGATGGTCAGAGTTAGGAATTAGATTTAAGGTAATTCACTACGAACTGACATAAGCTAAGATGCCAGAACTCTATTTACTCAAATGGATGAATGAATTTCGTGCCGAAATCCAAGACCTCTTATGTTAAATCTGATTGACTCGTTCATAATTTATAGTCTCTTCCCTATTAATGAAAGTATGCTTTTAAGCTAAGTGTAAAGTACACTATACAGAAAAAAAAGAGTAAAGTGCTTACGTGATAATTTCTCATTCTCCGGATGTGTACAGAATGATGTAGCTGAATATTCACTGCCCAAACCTTTAACATACTACAAATGTGGGAGAGTAAGGTTAGTCCAATATAATACATCATTATAATGAGAAGATATTTTCTTACAAAAATGGCGAGACTATAATTTATGGACGACCTTTGAAAGAATCTTGTATGAGCTTGAGAAATATTAGCCATTTTTAATATTTGAGATCACGAGTCAATTGAAGCTAGACCAACATGGAATACCTAGAGGCAGTGGACGGCCGTTTCGTCCTAGTATGGAACTCCTCATCTGTGCTCATCCACAATCTCACTTCGCGAGATTCAAATCCAGTACCTATCAGTCTCGCGCGCTAGCGCCTAACCATTAGACCATTGGGCCGACATCCAACGTGGTCGCGGATGCACACTGCTGAGGAGTCCTACAGTAGGACAAAACAGTCGTCTAGTGCTTCCAGGTTTCCATGGTGGTCTAGCTTCAACTGACTCATGTCTCAACTATTCAAATTACTATAATATCCACAAAACCCCTTCAAATATTAGCCAATTAGAAAACAGTTAGTATATAGTAAAATTCTATTATATATAACTAAAGAATTAAAATGGATACACTTCTTTTATATGGTTGAGAAACTTGTCAAAGTTAGAAAGAGGTTCAGAGTTTCTAAAATTGTGATCAATATCGTAGAGGGAATCATCCATATGGCTCTATAATTGTCGACCTCTGGAGCCATGATGAATACGCAAAAAATTTCTGCCTTGATCACATTTCTTCAGTATTGTTTGTGTGCACTCCGGTGGTTGGATCTATAAAATGCCACTTGTGGATAAAGACACGATGCACATAAACAAGTCTCTTTAGGTGTCTGTACGCTTTTCATTCATCCGTTTATATTGTAGTACTCTGTAGCAGCCAGTGTTACTGGTGCTCTTATTATCCAGTTCGAAACGACTGTCGTAATTTGCCTTACTCTCGATCTGCATAGAGCGAAAAAATCCTATCACGTTTTCTCTAAAATCCATTGTGAATCGATCTTACTTGTGTATCAGGTACTGAAATTGCCGCCATGACCTCGAAATTCCTGAATCGCCTCTAATTGTCTCGTCTATAAATTATAGTCTAGCCAAGTGATTTTGAGTAGTACTGAACAATTGAAACTATTTTAACTGTTACTTATTCAAAACAACCATTTGTAATTTTCTATGTTAAAACAGTATCATTTCCCACATGTTAACTAATATAAGCTTCACCATATATCTCATTAAAAGTACTTGTTATTTATATAAATATAATTATGTAGTGGCTTTGTTTCGTTAATCAATCACCCTCGATAACCATCATTATATAAATTTCAACGGTGTTTGAAATTAGAAGGCAATAAGAAGCAGCAACTACAGTGTATTAGCGGATAGCACAGATCACAAAGTTATAAGCACATCAAGCAAATTTGAAGCAGAGAGGCGTATATGTGTATGCGTGCAATTACATAGGCAAATTTATAGTCAAGTTGCATAAAGGCACAGCAAGACAAACCAAAAGCTAATAATCGGATTCCAGTACATAAATACATATGGATCAGAAGGAATGATCGAATGATATATAAGCAATCAACATTTTAGCTAGATTCTGTTTTGTTACCTAGTGATCATAACAGTACAAAGAAATATGAGAATTGTTACGGTTCAAATAAGGTTGTCTGTTAAGGGTTTAACCAAAGTGAACCATAATCGAAATTTGTTGGCGTTTGAAGCGAACAGTATTGGGTTCGAGTCCCAGAGTGGACATCAAATCTGAGATGCAGGTCCATCTTACTGACAAGTGGCGAACAGGACAAAATGCGCGTCCTGGATCCCACTGATATCCACTATCCATCTTTTGCTTATAATGCTTGTTGTAGGATAGTTGCTATATTTATATCATTTCAGATTATTTCACAGTAATAGTGAAAATATCTTTTTATCTAAATATGATTTATTATAAAACCTAAATATTTTCAATCATTGTATTCATGACTCCATTGAAGCTAGACCACCATTGAAAACCTGGTAGGATTGGACAGCAGTTTTGTCCTTGTATGGGAGCATTAATTGATAATATCACACATTACCGACGATGGTAATTCATGTTTTCGTCACAGATTCATACATGAAAGTCGGTACAGGCGAATATATTTTAAATTATAAATAGTTAATTTCTGATTATGGTCAGGAATGAAAAATGATTATAGAAGTTGACCGAGAACCCTAAGTCATAATATTAAATGTTATAAGGTGAAATATTCACAAGAATGTAGAGCAATCAACTTACAACCATTGTTGGACAATAATCTTTAAATGGATCTTCCCCACCGAAATATTCAGGACCATATTGAGTATCAAATGGGGCTTTTAGAAAGAAACGATCTTCTATGGGAACTGGATTTTGATATCTTAAAATACTGCACGTTCCATATGAGAATGCATCCCGACATCTTGCTTCATTGACATTGTCACAGAATGGGATAATTTTCCTGCCGCTTAACGAAAAAACAAACAATCAATTTTAAAGGCAATTAGTAATTTCATTTTTCGTCATGTATCTTTATTCAAAACAATTTACTATGCCATCAACAAACAAAGTATTATGTTTGAAGTTAAATATCAACAGTAAACAGTTAGACAATTTCATTATGCAATGTTTGAAGTGATTACAAGTTCACTTAGTCTGAGAACGAAACAAGGACTCTGTGACCAAAGACCAATAGGTTAGCTATTCTGATGCATCACAGCCCCATTAACTAGAGAGAGAACTTCATGTTCGAAACAGAGGAACATACTCCGCAAGCACCCAGAAGCATGAGAAATAATAACAGGTAAAAATCAAACACATATATACAACAATGAATTGTCCTTAGAAAGCGTTACAAAATTGCATCCTAAAAGATACAATGAACTAATAGTGTTTAAGATTCTCCCAAGTGGGAAATACAACCCGACAGTGAAAATGAGCGCCTTTGGTACGAAAACAAGAAATCCAAAATTTTAAAATAGAATTACAAAAATAAGGTATTGACCAAATGAGTTCTGGGGGTCTAACATCCCCAACACATTAGGTAGTTCATCTTTGAAGTTCTATTTCTACTTCATGGTATACTGAAAGGTAAGAATTTTTGATAAATTCATAGACATCTAATATGCTCAGGAGTATAAATATTAAAGAATAGATCAGAATTATTGAATTACCAGTTGCGATCGCATTGTGTAACTTTGAGTTACATAGCGAAGCAAGGGCTGTAGTCCTACAATTGAAGAATATATGGAACTCAAAACAACTGTCTGTCAACAATATCAAAGTCGCAATCTTAAATACGAACGCCAAAACAATCCCACTGTACAGAGCTGGAACGTGGAGAACCACTAAAACCATCATCAATCATGTACAAGTATCTATAAATAGTTGTCTACACAAGATACTCTACATCCAACATTGGCCGGATATCATCATCAACAGTGGACTGTGGAAGAGAAAAGACCAGATTCCAACTGAAGAGGAAATTAGGAAAACACGTTAGAAGTGGATAAGACATAAATTACGCAAATCATCGAACTGCATCACGGGGCAAGCCCTAACATGGAATCGTAAAGGGAAGTGGAAAAGAGGAAAACCAAAGGACACATTAATTTGGGAAATGGAAGTAGATATGTAGAAGATGAATAACAACTGGAAAGAAGTGAAGAGGATTGTTTGGAACAGGGTTGGATGGAATATGCTGGTGGTTGGCCTATGCTCCTCCATGAGGAGTAACAGACGTAAGTAAGTAACACATATTTTGTCGATTAGACATATGAAGGTATTGAACAAAGAATAATATTATAAATTCATAATTGAAATGACAATTGACTCACTGTTGTCGTCTAATTTCAGCATAGTCGAAGCAACTTTTCATGCTAAAGTCACATCCTAATTGTCTACCATATTCCCATTTCATCGCTTTTGAGTAATCAACAGTGTACCAACTTGAAAATGAGACATAAAAGAATTAATAAAGTCAAATTCCACATCATTAACGAATGAATAATAATAATGAAAATTAGTACAGAATACACCAGACGGTGATATAATTAATACAAACTACTAAGTAAAGATGATAGTTAATTTATAGTTTACTTTTTGGATGAAAAGTGCTGGTGGGCGGCCTACGCTCCACGAGGAGTAACAGGCGTAACTAAGTAAGTAAGTATAGTTTATTGTAACTGAAGAGGATTGATTACCAGATAACTTCAAAATGAGTGTTTTAGACAAGTGTGATAAAAAAGAAAAAGTGAAGAACAACGAACGTGATGAAGTGTATATAGTTTTGAGAAGAGTGGTATTGCATAACAAGATTTGAGGTTTTATAACTAAGATAGTTTTATTAAGGGAAAACTTGTCATTTGTTGACATGGTTAAAGTATGTACAAAATTATTGTGGGTTTGGTATGGCGGATGTGTCACTCAATTTAGTGGATTAGTTGAAGTTAGACATTAAGACCGTTAGATGCCGACTGGCTCAGTGCCGAAAAGGTTAAGAGTACGTGCACGGGATTGATAGGTCCTGGGTTCGAATCCCGCGGGAGGGTCGTGGGTAAACACTGCTGAGAAGTCCCGTAATAGGATGAGTTGGCCTTCCAGTGTTCCCAGAGTTTCCATGGTGGTTTAGCTTCAACTCACCCATGATCTCAACTATTGAAATTACTACAATCTCCAGAAAACCCCTTTCTGAAATGAATGAATCACTTATTGTATTTTGGTTTGGAAAATATTTTATATTCGCTTGATGAGAAATATGAAACTGAGTTCAGAAACCTTCAGTCTGTTCAGTCATTTCTATCATGTCTCTGAGCCAATGTTGGCGTTTACGACAATGTTCTATCCCGACGAGAATAATGAATGGTAACTGTTGGGATCCATTTATAGACAAATCATACACACATATTTTTATCGTATAATTGTTAAGTAACTAAATTATTCATATTCTTGTTCCTCTTATGATTAGAGCTATTTTGATCCATAGACTATTATTATACGATTTACTGTTCTTGAGTTGTGCCCAGTCTATTCATTACAGTCTTCCTCATTCACAGCCACTTTTAACTTGGTCTTGTACAAATGTTATTTCCAACTTCATGGTACGATGTAACCTGTTTGAATGGTTTATAAACCCAGTGTGTTTGAAATACATAATTCATATTGCAGAGGCTAAGATTGGTGTTGTGGACTTAACCTGCAGGGCTAAGCAGGGAGAAGGATGAATTAAGACTGTACACTCCTCGTTCTTGTTTTATGCGCCATTAGTCTGGTCGAATAATCACTGTTCATTAATTGGCGGTATCATTACGGCACATATTGATCGGGGCACAAGTCCACAAGTTATAACAGACAGAAGTAGGTTCATAGACTGTGCGATTCATTCAGTTTCTCAAAAAAATGTGTATTAAGGTAACAGTTACAGTAAAGATGGACCCTCAGTAACACTGCCTCTAATAATATCCTTCCAAAACCTGCAAACATAGGCTCGTGGAGTCCAGATTTCGAAATCGTTAACGAAACCAAATCTATTTTCAGAGATTCTAAACGATAATGGACGTTATTCTTTTACATCCATCGTTGTAATAGAAAAATAGGTAATTACTTTGTCTAACTTTGCTTACCCCGAATCCTCAAAGAAGCTAAGAGTAACACGCGACACAGAGTAATCAACTTGTATTCTTCCAGCCATTATTTCGCTCTGAAATCCAAGATGATAATACACTACATAAACAATGAAGCAACTAACATTTATGTGTATACAAGAATACGGCTTTTTATGCTATATTATTCTCAATAATATTTACTTTCTAACCTTTACTAACCTATCATCAACAAAGGGTATTTCTTTAGGCACGTACCCTACAACTAATAATGGATAAAAAAACTTTGCTTACCGTACTGAAATGTGTAACTTTGTTCACATGAGTAATCAATGATGATTGCAGATGGATCCAAGACCCACATTTCGTTCTATTTAGTATTCGTCAACTGGAAGGGTCATCAACTCTATGATTCAGGTACACCCAACTGACGAGTCCCAAATAGGACAAAACGTGAGTCACAACATCACAAATAACTATCACTCTTGACAAAAGTCTAATATCACGGTGATTGTTTAACAATGTTGACTTTATTTGCTACGTAATCCCTTAATACTCTTAATTCAATGCAAATAATTTCAGAAATAACAAAATATACTATTTTGACAGTTGTTTATGTCACAATTTTGAATGTACAAAATTCATATTCATACTTCAGTAAACTCACTGAATATGTTCTTCCCTCCCAATGCGATCCTATCGGTCCAGTTTGGTATTGATTTTCCAAATCTGCTCCATCTAACCGGTTACAAGTGAAGTGTTTTCTTGCAGCGTTCTAAATATTGTAAGTATGTACATTTTGATATTTTTTTTAATTAAAGGAAGAGAAACCCAGAATGATTTTGTTTTTGATTTAGATCATGAATCGATTGATATTAGACGCCTATCGAAAATCTGGAAGCACTTGATGACCGTTTCGTCCTATTGGGGGACTCCTCAACAGTGTGCATCCACGATCACGGTCGTGGAGTCGAACACTTAACCTCTAGACCAATGATCTCAATAAAAAAACATAATAACTTCCACAACTCCATACTGATAATAATTTTTTTGTTCTATTTCTAAATAATTAAATACAATAAAGTCAGTCTTTGGCTTCATACACTACAATTTTATAGCGGAAATAACGATAATTTCTTTACTTTAAAAGACTCAAACACTTTCACCATTAATCTGTGAAGTTTAAAATTAACACCAATGAATAACAAGAAATACAAAATACTTGTTTTCCTTTAACTTATGACTTCACAGAAGTCAACAGAAATTAATCGTGGATCTGCACTGTTGAGGAGTCCTACACTGGAACGAAACGGCCGTCCAGTGCTTTCAGGTTTTCTATGGTGGTCTAGTTTCAATCGACGCATGATTTCAACTATTAAATTACTGTAATATGCACAAAACCCCTTTCTGATAATCCATATATGACTAGTTTAAGGATTTTCATTCAGCAAGGTGATAAAATTTCAATGGTTGAAATCATCAGTCAATTGAAGCTAGACCATCATGGAAAATCTGGAAGCACTGGATGGCTAACCAGTCCTATTGTGGAACTCCCCAGCAGTGCGCACTCAAGATCCTGCATCGCGAGATTCCAATCGAGGACCTACCAGTTTCGCATTCGAACGCTTAACCTCTACACCACTGAGACGACCGGCATCCAACACTGTTAATGTCTAACTTCAACTAGTCCAGGAATTTGCGCCACCGTCCACCATTGTTTTCATTGATTTACTATCTCACGACAGACTCGATTGACCTTCACTGATCATCGCTTCTCACTAGAACTCCAGGAAATACCTCATGGAAACCGTCACCAGTGAGCATATGTTGATTAATATCAGAAGTGGCTTTTGTAGATACTATAGTAATCTGAATAGCTGAGATTGAGTCGACTGAAGCTAGATCATCATGGAAAACCTGGAAGCACTGGAAGGCCGTTTTGTTCTACTGTAGGACTCCTCAGCGGTGCTCATCCACGACCCCGCCTCACGAGATTCCAACCTAGGACCTATCAGTTAAGATAGTGTACATCAGTCGATGAGAAAAATTTCTTTTCGTTCGAGGTGAATTAATGAATTTCTATTTAACATTTTCTTCATTATAAAATAATATGAATTGTATAAAAGACTTAACTAACCAGAATTTTAGGAGTAACGAAAGCATAAAAGTCTTTTGTAAACCATCCTGCTGTACTTCTCCATGTCCTTGTAATCTTTGTGATAGTGTTGTTACTGTGAAAATAATGTTTAAATTATCAAAAACTTGCATTATAAGCATATACATTTTTAAGAAAAATTCCCCCTCGAAACAAAGCCTGGTGATAACGCTACACACAACAGTAGTTTTCGAAAATTATTCAAATAGATTTGTATGGTGAACTGTATATAAAAATTATGATCATCATCTTGACTAATTGTTTATTTATTTATTGAAACACATAAATATTGGTACAAGGAGGCACCAAATACATATACGCCACATAAATCATTCGATTTATGTAGGGGCTGATATACAGCCCGGGTGGCAAAACCGAAGCAGATGGTTATCTTACGATGCCACAACCGGAGACTTCGATATAAAGGTCTAATCCACAAGGTAGTGGAGCTACGCCAGGAAATGCAGTTCCATAGTAGCTTGTGACCGATAATTGGTTCATACGCCATTTGTTCCCTCAGGATCCTGTAGTCCATGTGCACCATTGGCTTAGAATTAGAGTTTTCCAACTCACATCTGCTGATCCTCCATAACCACCAGCCCGTCTAAAGCGCCGGACATTCGCTTTATGTCCTCTCAATTTCGTAAGCAACACGCCGGGTGCGAGAAAGCAGTAGGTAGGACTCCCCTGGAAGTGACTGTATACTCATGGGCATATGAGGGCATTTCAAGACAGAGGGAGGGAGCTGACTTTCCTCACTCTCGGTCGTACCAGGGCATTTTCGAGACTAATTATGCATAACATATGTGTGAAACCTACCTTTAAAGATCAGTACAGAGCTTCTACCACTCATAATATCAATACACAAATAAACCGATCATGTGCAAATAAAAAATAACTTTGGGTTTAGAGTTTTGATTTTCTTTTGACGCCGAGATACATCAGTTACAGATCTAACTTATGTGTTCACATGGTTAGGATTAGCCTATCTGTCAATGATTACTTGCATAGTATTGTTCATTCATCTAAATGAAATTATCATTGCAATGATAATATGTATATGAGTCAACAGTCTGGTCTTTTGTTTCAAACCTCATAGTGAATTCCAGTCACCTAATCATTGCTGAAAATACTGTTGATAAGACATATTGTCTATGGCAATTTGTGAGAAGTGAATTTTTAAATACTAAACATGCTTTTACACAATGACAGAGGTAAATTTTAGAAAATAATAGTCAATGAAATCTGTATAAAACTGAATTTGTAACTGATTTTATACCTTTCTATATAAAACATCGTAATTTACTGAATGCAATAACAAATAGTACATTTCTATAAAATCAGGCTATTTCTTCATTAGGTTTTTGATTGAGATCATGAACTGGTTAATGTTAGATCACCATTGAAAATCTAGAAGCACTGGACGGCCGTTTCGTTCTATTGTGAGACTCCTCGGAAGTGAGTATCCATGATCCCGCTCTCGGGGTTTCAACCTAGGGCCTTTGTCCCGCGCGCGAACGCTTAACCTCTAGATCACGGAGCCGACATCTGATGGTGTCAACGTCTAACTTCAGTTATTCAAAAAAATTGCGTGGCCACCTTCCATTGTACTTAGGTAGATACCTGTCTCTACCCGACATGGATTAGCTTCACTGATCACGGCTTCTCACTAGAACTCCGAGAATTCCCACATGAAGCTAGTTACTAGTGAGCACATCGTATTCATCAGTATAGAGTTGTGGAGATTACTGAGTTTTTGATTGAGATCATTAACCGGTTGATATTAGACCACCATTGAAGACTTGGAAGCACTGGACGGATGTGTACTGCTGAGAAGTCCCGCAAAAGGACGTGTTGACCATCCAGTGCCTCCAGGTTTTCGGTGGTGGTCTTGCATCAATCGGTTCATGATCTCAATCCAAAACTTAATAATCTCCACAACCCTATACTTATATTTCTGTATCAAAAGGTTTCCTAAGTTTCTATTGGTTGAATATATAGAAACATGAAATTCTCACCTCGGAATATAATTTCCATATTGATCTTTGTACTTTGGCTTACGTTTATCGTCCCTGGGAGTTCGAGCTTTCCCATTTGGAAAGCGCATAAAAGGGAAGTTGGATGATGAAAATCCCTAAAATATAATAAATTTTAAATGTGCTAAGTAGTGACCATATAAAATCGGAATGTTATATATGAGCTTGTATATACTTGTTCATATTTACAACACTAGCATGTCAACAATATTAACAGTAGTTTCAGATAAATAGCTGAACACTATAAAGAAAGAACTGATTGACATTTTGTAAATGAAGCAATTACTGTATGATTCTCAGATTTTACTAAGATGCTAGTATGTTCTAGTATGGGATTTCTCAGCCGTCCAGTGCTTCCATGTTTTCTATGATGGTCTAACTTGAATTGATTGATGAATTCAACTATAAAATTAATAAGTAACTTATGTCATGTTTACTTAGCCCTTAGTGCTGATCAAGTTTTATCGGTTAGTTATCAGCGTGGTGACCGGTTGAAATGATTCGATATTCTATGCCTTTTTCGTTAGTTAGAGGCAATGACGAGGTCATAATAAAAAAAACTCGACATTAAGATACTTCATGTTTTCATGAAAAATGTGTAACATGCTAAATATATTTTGATAGAGTTTTGTTCTCTGAGCTGCATAATCGTTTGGTCTTGGCCCTTTCATCGTTCTTCTGAACGATAAGTGCGAGTCTTCCTGAGGTTTGTGTTGATGATGTTGTTCAGAAGAACAATGTAAGCTTCACGAACAAACTATCCAGCCCAGAGAACAAAACTCCATTAAAATCATCCATTTGAGCTAGAAATCTTCTTCACCATCTCAATACTAGATATATTTCAATATAATTGTTCAGTGATCTCAATGAATAGAAAAATACTCTTTATCTTATCAAAATAATAGATGAACTTACAAGTGCATGACCAATTTCATGCAAGAAAATTCCAAGTGAATTTCTATCTTCAGGATAATCAACTCCCATTTTTCCTGGGCACACATTTACAAATCCGAGAATTGGCCTAAAGTATTAAGTAGTATCAGTATACGGATATAAAACAATGAATGAATTATTCTCAATTAATGTAATTAAGTAAGTAGTTACATCACAATTTCATTTTGTAATCTAAATTTATCCAGTATTACATTACATATTTAATTCAATAGACATTGAAGATAGTTGGGTAGTTGGTTTAGTGACATAATATCTTATGTAATTTAATCAATGAGTGTTTCGTGTTACTGGAATTACAAAAAAACAAGATCATTAGTTCAAACCTATCTACTTTAGAGTTGACAATTTACTTACTTACTTACTTACTTACGTCTGTTACTCCTCATGGAGGAGCATAGGCCAACCACCAGCATATTCCATCCAACCCTGTTCCAAACAATCCTCTCCACTTCTTTCCAGTTGTTATTCATCCTCTACATATCTACTTCCATTTCCCAAATTAATGTGTCTTTGGTTTTCCTCTTTTCCACTTCCCTTCACGATTCCATGTTAGGGCTTGCCCCGTGATGCAGTTCGATGATTTACGTAATTTATGTCCTATCCACTTCTAACGTGTTTTCCTAATTTCGTCTTCAGTTGGAATCTGGTCTTTTCTCTTCCACAGTCCACTGTTGATGATGATATCCGGTCAATGTTAGATGTTGAGTATCTTGTGTAGACAACTATTTATAGATACTTGTACATGATTGATGATGGTTGTAGTGGTTCTCCATGTTTCAGTTCTGTACAGTGGGATTGTTTTGGCGTTCGTATTTAAGATTGCGACTTTGATATTGTTGACAGACAGTTGTTTTGAGTTGCATATATTCTTCAATTGTAGGAATGCGGCCCTTGCTTTGCCAATCCTCGCATTTACGTCTGCATCTGATTCTCCTTGTTCATCGATGATGCTTCCCAGGTACGTGAAAGATTCCACATCTTCCAGAGTTTTGCCATCAAGTGTGATCGGGTTGGTGTTCTCCCTGTTGCATTTGAGGATCTCGGTTTTCCCTTTGTGTATGTTGAGACCTACTGATTCAGAGGTTGTTGCGACATACTAGTTGTATTCATTTGCATTTATTCTTGTATATGGGATAGGAGGGATAGGTCATCTGCGAAGTCCAAATCTAATTAATCCTGAACTGTCCAATGTATTCCGTGCTCCCACTCAGATTTCGGGATCTTCATATTCCAGTCGAACACCAGAAGAAACAGGAAGGAGGAGAGTAGACAGTCTTTTTTGACTCCGACCCTTACTTGGAGTGCATCGGTCAGCTGTCCTCCATGCATCACCTTGCACTGTAGTCCGTCGTATGAGTTCCGGATAACGTTGACATTCTTCTCAGGAACTCCACAGTATTAAAGAAATTTACATAATATTCTCCTGTCCACACTGTCAAACTCCTTCTCATGGTCAATGAAGTCGATGTAGTGATGAGTTCCATTCAACTCATTGTTCGACAATGATCCGTATTGTTGCAATTTTGTCTGTGCACGACCGATCCTAACGGAATCCAGCTTGTTGATCTTGAATTTGGATGTCTACAACACTCTGTTAAAGACTTCCCCTGGTACAGACAATAGTGTATTACCTCTGTAGTTTTCTCATTTGCTCAAATCTTTCTTTGGAGTCTTGATGAGGTATCCTTCTTTCCAGTCCGTCGGCACCTGTTCCTCCTCTCAAAGCTACGTGAATAGAAGATGAAGCACGTTTGCAGTTATTTCGATATCTGCCTTTAGTGCTTCATCTAGTATGCTGTTAGGTTCTGCTGCCTTTCGATTTTTGATTTGTCAGATTGCCACTCTGATTCCCGCGATCGTTGGTGGAGTAACGTCCCTAAGAATGTCTGTGTTTTCTGAACTGGGATAAATCAATCGTAAATAAAATTCAAGGTTTGAAGAATGAATTGTACTAATTATCGACTTCATTTTAATGAACTTAAAGTACCAATAATGTTTGCAGACTTAATATTACAGACTAATTCGACTTTCACGTGATATAGTTTCATACTACTTACTACTTACTTAATCCTGTTACTCCCATAGGCAGCCGACCAGCATGGAAACAATTTAACCTATTTCTAATTACCTAGGTGTTTGTTTTTTTGTTGCATCAGATTTAAAGTGCAGCTACTTTTTGTGTAGAAATTCGGAACAGCGTAAGTTAAACTGCTATACTTTATTCATTTCTGCATTGATTGTTTGGATCTTCTCATTGACGTTAAGGTCTACAGTTTATCAATCTCTTATTGGTATATGTTCATCGTGTGCGGATTGTTCCGATGGTGCCTTAAGTCATCAAATTACAGCCTTAAATTTCCATGGGAAGATTCAAACAACCAATACAAAGATTAATTAAACTTCACCCCATTGTACAAGCTAGCAACTATCTGAACACAGTAGATAAGTGAATAACGTTATGGTGATTAAAGTGAAATAGTACTAGGTTTGAGTCCCAGAGTATACATCATCGAAGTGAAGCAGGTATATCCGACTGACGAGTCCTAGATAGGATGAAACGCGCATCCTGGATTTCACTGCTAACCATCATCCATCTCAGCTATATTTTATTACCAGTTAGGTAACTGTAAATACATTGCATGTCTATTTGTACTTGTATTTCAAAACAGATTCAAAGAACAACTACTGAATAGATAAAATTAGAAGGTAATTCCTTAACTTTCACAATATTATCGTAAACATTTGATTTAAGAGTATTATAGTTAAAAACATTTGTCTTTGAATAAGTAATTCAGTCATTTTTCTTTCATCTAAAACAAGAATATGCTCTAATAAACATATTTAATTACCTATCTGTTTCCTCATCCATTAAACATGATGATGCAAATGCTGCTGTACTACCAGAACAGGTACGTGAATTTATAGCATCAACAAGTAGGATGTAACCGGCAGATGGTATTCCACTTCCATTATTGTAAGTTCTGTGTAATCGGTTATAATATTCTTGATAACATTCCTGAAACATAATCATGATAGAATAATTGAATCGTAATATTTTGAACACAAATAATGAAATATAGATCATTGGTCGTGGAGCTTCAAGTAGAAGTTTGTGCTGATGATGTCATTCAGAACGACGATGAAAGCTCCATGATTAAACCATTGAGCTCAGAGAACGAAACTCGAACAAAATATACATCATTGTCTTACTAATTGAATAACAACTGGAAGGAGCTAGAAAGGATTGCCCGAGACAAGGTTGGATGGAGAATGCTGGTGTTGTATCTAACCTCTGTTCAGGCTATCATAGCTGTTGTATGACAAAAGTCATATACCGAATTTCGAGAAAGAGTATTTACGATTATGATAATATTAATATGCAAATCTAAAGAGACTACATTTCAATGTTGATTCTATAATTATCCCGGCTCAGTGATCTAGAAGGTAAGCGTTCGTGTGCGAGACCGAAGGTTCTAGGTTCGAATCCCGTGGGCGGAATCGCAGATTTGCACTGTTGAGTATTCTGTATTTCACATCTTCAATCACTTATAAGAAATGAATTAAAAATCTAATACACATCTTATTGTTGCATTTTAAATATCTATGTACACCTGTACTCATACTCACCCCTACATACTGATCTGGAATTTTCACCCGTCCGCACATAACATCGCGTTTGCACATCGACTGACGACAAAATATGGAGTTATTCCCAATAGCTGTGTAATAGTATCCACTTTCACAATACCTTGATGAAACAAAATAAGAATGTTTTTCAGTTAAGAATAAAAGAAATCCATCTATTAAGTTTTAATCTAGAATAGTGAATTACTTAAGTTACTTAACAAGATACCTTCAAACATTGAAATGACAAGAATCACAAGTGTGACAAGAATGTTAATGATTACATATCAAAAAACAAGTAAGCTAACAGTACAATCACCTTTTTGCTAGTTGTTTTCCACTTCCAGGTTTCTTGACTGTCAATGCTTCTTCCCAATACTTTATTGCTACTTGTGCAAATTTCTGTAAAAATGTAAAATAACACAACTAAAGTATTACATTATTAATTTTAATAAGTGGGATCATGAGTCAATCGAAACTAGATCATCATAGAAAACCTAGAAGCACTGACGGCCGTTCCGTCCTACTGTAAAACGCCTCAACAGTGCGCATCCACGATCCCGCCTCACGAGATTTCAACCCAGGTCCTATCGGTCACACGCGCGAGTGCTTAATCTCTACACCAATGAGCTGGCCGGCATCCAATCATATTAATGACTTACTTCAATCAATCCACGAAGTTGCACCACCATCCACGATTGTTATCAGTGTGTTACTATCTCACAACAGATTTGGTTGAACTCCACTGATCACTGCTTCTCACTAGAACTCCAGGAAATATCTCTTCAAGCCAGTCACTAGTGAGCATATTTTCATGATTATCATAGGGAGCTTTTGTGGAGATTTTACTAATTTTATAGTTGAATTCATGAGTCAACTGAAGCTAGATCACTATGGACAAACTGGAAGCACTGGATAGCAGTTTCGTCCTAGCACGGGACTCCTCAGCAGTGCTCATCCACGATCATCCTCATCATTGTTATATAGCTATAGCTATTCAAATAATCAAAACTTAAAACTGTTACAATTAAATCATTCATAGAAACAATGAAAAACATTACTATACTGAGAAGAATTTTTATCATAAATCATGTGAATTACTGAGAGTTTAGCATGATCTTTCATTGTGTAGAAATTCTGAGTAAAATGCGTATAAAACTTCAAAGGTTTTGGCGCTGTATTCCGTCTCTCGACATCATCCGAATGTACAGTGACAGTATGATCCTAAAATTTCAATCAAATTCTCTAGCAATATTGAATCTACCAATTTCACTAAAGGAGGTAAACCACAGAATGATGTCGAATTGACAATATGACATATGATCAAAATGAAAAACCATTTAATGAATAAATGAATAAGCATATCTGTTAAGTATGGTGGTAACTAACTTATGTTATATGTATACCTATATATATATACATGTTGTTGTTGTCTGAAGTTCACAGACCAATCTAATGTCTCCGGTCTATCTCGTTGAATTATTTCTCACTATACTTTTAACAGTTTCGATGGAGATTCAAATCAATTCACACAAAAAAAAGAGAAAAGAAAAGAGAAAAGAAAAACGAAAGAAAAAACATAATGTCGGTTTACTTTTTGTCTTAAATTCAAAGATTCTGGACAATTTGATTTCATTGTTGATTCTCTTAACTTGAATAAGTTTAACTTAGTTTCAAAATAAAATCTTCCCCCCCCCGCCTATTGCGAAACATTTGACTGAGTCTGATCATCATGAAATCAACTTTGCTTTATCCATATTATGATGATTTTTGTAATTATTAATACTTTTTGGACATTTAAATGATTCTAGTAAACGGATAAAGAGAATAGTTGATATACATTCAAATTACCTACCATCTGATGAGTGAAATGGATACTAAAGTAGTATTAAACAATCAAATAGATAGAATGATGAAATTGGAATATGCAATCACTTGAAGTTGTCAACAAATACAAAATCATTCAGACAATTTAAAACAACCCAGGGTGTAAACCTTATAAGACTTAATTCAATGAAAAAGGTACCATTGTTTACTTACAATTGAAATAGAATTACAAAGTGAATAACTTTAACAATATCAGGAGGTGATGATGAGATGTAAGATGTTTTGGGATAAACAGTTGATATCTATTGAACATACTTAAACACGAAGTAAGCCATATTAACTTACTTACTTTCGCTTGTTACTCCCAATGGAGTATAGGGCCGCCTACCAGTATTCTCTAATACACTCGGTCCTGGACCTTCATTTTTAGTTCTATCCAATTGTTGTTCATTCTTCTCATGTCTCTATCCATTTGTCAGTGTAATTTGTTCTTTGGTATTCCTAGCCTCCTTTGGCCTTGAAGATTTCAAGTGAGGGCTTGACTTGTGACGTAGTTCAGTGCATTCTTCAATGTATGTCATATTTACTTCCAGTGATTCTTCTTGATTTATTCTTCCACTGTTATTGTTGATTGTGTTCGGCCAACGGATCAGAAGTATTTTGCGTAGACAGCTGTTAAGGAACACTTGTATCTTCTGAAAGATGGGTTTCGTAGTTCGCCAAGTTTCTACCCCATACAATAGAACTGTGTTGACATTTGTATTGAAAATTCCAACTTTGGTGTTGATTGACGGTTGTTTTGATATGTAAACTGACTGTTCAATGTACTGAAAAATTCGGCACTCAACTATTATTGATGAAAATGTAAATGTTTGTTAACTATCTATTTGGAACAGAAGTTCTAATCATCAACAAAATGTAATTCATTAGTTGAATTCATGAACCAATTGAAGCTAGATCACCGTGAAAAATTTGGAAGCGCTGAACGGCTATTTCGTTCTGGCATAGGACTCCTCAGCAATCCGCATTCATGATCCCTCCTCTCGAGATTCATTTTCAGGACCTCATTCATATATCTAGATATTAATTATTAGACTTTAATCGAATATTGCATCTGTTGGATCTTACAATCTTCCCGAATTACTGTTGAAGTCAATTTATACTATAAAGTTCCATCAGATCAATTCAAAAATAGATATGCAATAATTTTTTTTAATATCTAGACTAAGTGTAGTCGAAGTACGTAACAGATTCCCTGAAGATTCCCTAGTCACATTGTCGTTTTATATTATTCAGTGTCATAATGTCTCCATCTCTCGCTTTAGCTACAATCTCATACTTAGAATTTAAAATGCTTCCTAATCATAAATATCAGTTTAAGGGTTGTGGAGATTATTAAATTTTTGATTGAGATCATGAACCAATTGATGTTAGACTAACATTGAAAACCTGAAAGTACTGGACGGCAGTTTCGTTGTATTGTGGGACTCCTCAGCAGCGAGACTGAAGGCCCTGGGTTCGAATCCCGCGAGAGGGATCGTGGATACGCATTGCTTAGGAGTCCCACAATAGGACGAAATGGACATCCAGTGCTTCCAGGTTTTCAATGATGGTCTAACATCAATCGGTTCATGATCTCAATTAATAATAAATAATTTAGGCAAGAATTCGTGATGTAGAATCATTTATTAAAACAATTAGTTCCTTTGATAAACTTCGATAATACAATGAGAAGATGAAGTTCATCAAAACTATGTCATGATGTATTTGCACAACATATTTCAAATAATCTGATTACGCATAATGTACTTGTTAAGACATTTTTATATGAAAATTAATAGTTCAACTATACAGGGTAAAGATAGGCCATAACAAAGAAGCCAAAGCTTCAATAAACCTTAGTATATTATCCTTGAAAGCTTTTGTACAACACTACAAATGTCGACTCGATGTCAACTTTATAACTAGTCTCAATCACATGTTTCACAATGAAAGAAGATGTCTATCTATCCTTTTGATCTTATTTAACCATTGGAATTCATAACGAAATCATGAATGAAATCTATTTTAAATGATTGTTTGATCCGGATCAGTTATTTATAAAGCCAAACAATTTAAGACCATAGTGTAGTGAAGGAGAACACAGGGGAGGACAACCGAATTGTATTTAGCACAACATTACAGAGTTACATGGTAAAATAGAAAAATCATACTATAATACTTAATTTGCAAAATGTCCAATAATTGTCTCGAACTTTATTGTTCTTTCATTTCTATACTAATTGCTTTCTATTCCCGTTCTTCCTTTCTTGATCTTCCTCATCTTCTGCTGCCAGCCATTACATTCCTACTTATATCAATATAAGTAGTACGCGCCACAAAACAATCAAAATGGTAGTCATGTAACGATGATCATAAAATAAGTTAGGAAGTTATTTTTTTGCCCATTATCTAACCTCATTACAGTTTGTACAAAGATGTTATGAACATAAATCTTCCATTTTACTCTGTATGATTATCTAGGCTAACCTTATTTATATGACAATGGTAATAAGAAGCCAAATATGAGTTGTATTAGATGAATTTATTTCAAGCTCATATTTATCCAAATAGACATTTAGAACCAAAAAAAAGCGACCTGATTAAATATCTGAGCTAATTGCTTTTATAATCTGAATCTTTTAATAAGTTATCTGCATTCTTATTTGTTTATTGATACATTACTTTTCTGGTTAGCGTTTTTTTTTGGCGAGTTAGTTTTCTAGGGGATGGGGTCGCTAACCCCATACCCAACCCTCCTCCTTTATCCGGGCTTGGGACCGGCAGTAGCCCCTAAAGGAACTCCAGGCGGAGTTATTGATACATCATTATGCCTATTTAAAAGGGGTGTAATTTACAAACTATCAATGAATTACATTATGATTAGTGAATAAAGTTTAATCATAATGAAAATAATCCAAACTTGAATTCTCTATTTAGTTCCATTAATTGGTTTCTTTTTATAAATCGTTAATGACACAAAATGATTACTCGTTTCATGATCATAAAAAGTTGTTAAGCTCATTATATGAAGTGTTTTAAAGAAGGGCTTGTCTTTCTATTTGTTTTAAAAAAAGAAAAGAAAAAAAAGAAAACCAGAATATTTATTTACATTTTGTTAGTAAACGGTATGAACAGGGTGGATCTGATGCAGATGTGAAGGCGCGGATCGGTAAAGCAAGAGCAGCATATTTAAAACTTAGAAACATCTGGAACTCAAAACAACTGTCAACCAACACCAAGGTCAGGATTTTCAATACAAATGTCAAGACAGTTCTACTGAATGGGGCGGAAACCTGGAGAACTACGAAAGCCATCATCCAAAAAATACAGGTGTTTATTAACAATTGTCTACGCAAAATACTTCGGATCCATTGGCCGGACACTATTAGCAACAACGTACTGTGGGAGAGAACAAACCAGATTGAAGTGGAGGAAGAAATCAGGAAGAAGCGCTGGAAGTGGATAGGACACACATTGAGGAAAGCACCCAACTGCGTCACAAGACAAGCCCTCACATGGAATCCTCAAGGCCAAAGGAAAAGAGGAAGACAAAAGAACACATTACGCCGAGAAATGGAGATAGACATGAGAAAAATGAACAAGAATTGGATGGAACTAGAAAAGAAGGCCCAGGACAGAGTGGGTTGGAGAATGCTGGTCAGCGGCACATGCTCCATTAGGGGTAACAGGCGTAAGTAAGTAAGTAAACGGTATAGTATCCAACATATGTAAATATATTCTAAGTAAAGATGTATAATGGTTAGCAGTAGAAATCAAGATATATATTTCAACCTCTTTGGGACTCGTAAGCTAGATGTACCTGCATCACGAAGTTGATGTTGACTATGGAACTCGGACTCAGCACTATTCGCTTCAAACACCATCATGTCATTCAGTTAGCTACTAAATCCTGATAGCCATTAAGCTTATGTAATGAAGTGAAATTTAATTTATCTTTGTAATGGTTTTTTGAATCTTCCGATTGATGTTTAGCAATGCAATTGATCAGTCTTTTATTGGCATATGTGCATCCTGTGCGGATTGACTTGATATTGCCTTAAGTCGTAAGCTTTATAAGCAAAGATCGATAGTGACTAGCAGTAGAATCCAGGATGCGTGTTTCGTCCAATTTGATACTCGTCGGCTGGGTATACCTGCACCCGAGTTGATATTCACTTCAAGACTCGAACCCAGTACCGTTCGCTTTAAACGCCATTGCGTTATCCACTTAGCTCCTCTCCCTAATAATTTCTCATGTCCCCTTGAGTTTGATTTATAATTTTCTCTGAGGTTATATGATCAGTGAATAAACATATATAACTTAAAAATAAATTCGTTAAATAGACGAACCTTAGCTGAACTTCATCTTCAATATTTAGAAGATAATTATGTCTAATTAATGTTTTCTCCACTAAGTATTTTTAAATCATATATGTTTACTAGAAGCACATGTTGTAAGTCGGTCATTGCTCGAAATGTACTAACTCTTTTCAGATGAAGTAATTAGACTTTGTAATTCTATAATTAGTATTTTTGATTGAGATCATGGACCGATTGATGTTAGATCACCATTGAAAACCTAGAAGTACTGGATGGAAGTTTCGTCCTATTGTGGAACTCCAGAGCAGTGCGCATTCACGAAACTGCTCGTGGGATTCAAACACAGAGACTTCAGTGTCGTGCGTAAATGTTTAACCTGTAGACCACTGGGCCGGTCGGCATCCAACAGTGTCAATGTCTAATTCCAACCAATCCACGAAATCGTGT